TTTTCCCAGCTCTCTCTGTTTTTGTTTGTTTAACTCATGTACTGATAACACTGGATAGCGCTTTATAAATGGAATCTTGTTGTTGTTGTTGTTGGATCTGCACAGTACCGAATACACTTGCAATCCCCCTTGACTTAACAGCTTGGGTTAACGTAGACGGTATGGGTTAAGCATGTACAGCAGGACCTAGAATGACTGGAAATCAAAGAAAGGATCTGTAGTTCTTTGCCAGAGACCTGGTAATCAATATTAATAATAATAATCCTTGCATTTGATATAGAGCCTTATCAGGTCTTCGAGACATCTCAAAGTGCTTCACAGAATATACTGTCAAGTGAATTGACTGTAAATTATGTGGGCGACGCAGCAGTCAATTGGACACAGCAATGTCCCACAAATGAGTGCCGTGGAATGAGTGCCCCAATTTTTTTTAAAATGGATTATTACCCCTGAAAAAGCAATCTTCCCATAAGTTCATACTTATTGCTAATGTAAACAGAGGCGTGTAATAAGGAAACTTGCCTAAGGTTTCGCCCTGCTGGGAATCGAACCCATATTCTCTCGCTTGTGTGTCGAGCGCTCTACAACAACTTGTTGCATTTATATAGCGCCTCTCACGCAGGATTACGTACCAGATCGCTTGACAGTGGTGGAGCACAACGCAAAGCCTGGCAAAGGGGGGAGGTAACCGTAGGCACGATTGAAGAGGAAAGTCTTCAGGCGTGATCTGAAGATGGGGAAGGAATGGGCAATGCGGAGGGATAGAGGAAAAGTGTTCCAGAATTTCGGGGCATAATGGCTCAAAGCAAAATGACTCCACAACCACGAAGCTACAGGACTTCACTTTTATTGGGGTGATTGTTGACCGGACGCCCCGGAGAAACTCCCTTCTCGTTTCAAATGGTATCATAGGATCTTTAACATCCAGTGTAAGGATTATTATTATTATTATTGTGGGGCTCTATATCCAGTGTAAGGATTATATTATTATTATTATTATTGTGGGGCTCTATATCCAGTGTAAGGATTATATTATTATTATTATTATTATTGTGGGGCTCTATATCCAGTGTAAGGATTATATTATTATTATTATTATTATTGTGGGGTTCTATATCCAGTGTAAGGATTATATTATTATTATTATTATTGTGGGGCTCTATATCCAGTGTGAGGATTATATTATTATTATTATTATTGTGGGGCTCTATATCCAGTGTGAGGATTATATTATTATATTATTATTATTATTGTGGGGCTCTATATCCAGTGTGAGGATTATATTATTATTATTATTACTATTGTGGGGCTCTATATCCAGTGTGAGGATTATATTATATTATTATTATTATTATTATTATTGTGGGGCTCTATATCCAGTGTGAGGATTATATTATTATTATTATTATTATTATTGTGGGGTTCTATATCCAGTGTAAGGATTATATTATTATTATTATTATTGTGGGGCTCTATATCCAGTGTGAGGATTATATTATTATTATTATTATTATTATTATTATTATTATTGTGGGGCTCTATATCCAGTGTGAGGATTATATTATTATATTATTATTATTATTACTATTGTGGGGCTCTATATCCAGTGTGAGGATTATATTATTATATTATTATTATTATTATTATTGTGGGGCTCTATATCCAGTGTGAGGATTATATTATTATATTATTATTATTATTATTGTGGGGCTCTATATCCAGTGTAAGGATTATATTATTATATTATTATTATTATTATTATTGTGGGGTTCTATATCCAGTGTGAGGATTATATTATTATTATTAATTCACTGCCCGATTCCAGTCAGAGATAATCCATTTATAATTCACTGATGCATTATAATTCAAGGATTATCATCGCGTTTGGTTGTCAGTCCCTGAGTTCTCAGACCTCTCTCCCCCCTCCACCGCGAGTGTTGTTAAAATGCAGAAATGTTAAGTTATCTTATTGTTTGGGATGTCCACGTTTGTGCAGTGAATGGGGTAACTGTGATACACCCATATTATTATTATTATTATTACCATCATCATCATCTCGGATAGGTTAGATCCCCAAAAAGCAGCGAGATTCATCGCGCAAAAGGTTTAATGGTGCAGCTGTCAGTGTTTGAAATGCAAAACAAGACTCTCCCTCCCCCCCTCCCCCTCTCTTTCCTTTCATTTAAACACTCAATATTGTGCATCGCTGCAGATGTACGTTTTCCCCTATCGATAGGGAGTAGATCTTGGAGATAAGCTGCTGATTAATTGGTAATAATAATAGTAAATTTGCGAACAGCAAATATTCTGGAAAAGCAAGAATTGAGCACAGTCCAGCACTGACACCAGTCAGTCTGACTCGTCTGTTGACATCCTGGTTACAATTATGAAATACAATGTGTATACAGTTGTTGAAGGTTATGTAATTGGGGCTCAGCAATTGAATAAATGGAGGTGGATGGAAAAGAAAAGGGAGTTGTCCAGTTATATTCTTAAAAAATGCAGCTCTGCAACTACAATTTAAATATGCAGTGTACAAATACAAATGGATGAAAAAATAGACTGTAGGGTTTAGGGGTTAAATAAAGGCACTGCTAAGCTCTCAGATTCTACTTGCGTGAAGGGTGTATATAAATGCTTGCTGCTGCTATTGTGTAGTGACTATTTATAGGTGAGCACAGGTTCTGTATACATTCTTGCTGATTTATTTAAGTAAAACTTGCAGAATATCATTCCATTCATCTCTGTATTTTGCTGATTCAATACTAGCAGCTGCTCTTCACAGAAGATAATAATAATAATAATCCTTGCATTTGATATAGCACTTTTCACGTCTTCTAGACATCCCAAAGCGCTTCACAGAATATACTGTAAAGTGAATTGACTGTAAATTTGTGGGCGAACGCGGCAGCCAACAGCAGTGTCCCACAAACAGTCGTGGATTGAAAATGATCAATTTATTATTGTTTGTTTTTTTGGATAATTTACACTGGCCTGCTTCATGTCCCTCTATCTATCTGTCCCACCATTACTGGGTGGACTTTTAGCCATTCTGTCCCTGGTCTCTGGAACTCCATCCTGTGTCCCTCCGACTCACTCCCTTCTTTCAAGGAACATTACTCAAAGTGTACCTCTTTGACTGCTCCTGATTTTGGTCATCTTACCCGGCCGCCGACCCCCTTTTGGCTCCACCACCAGCTTGGGTGCCTATCTAGCACTATGGAGCGCTATGAGATGCCTTTCCAATGTGAAAGGTGCCATATAAATGTGTATTGTATTATCCACCACCAAGCACATGATTCATTGTACTTTGTAATACCCTGTTGAATAGTTGATCCCAGTTAATGCTTATCCCTAGGCCCTTCAATTCCATTAGTAACTTTTTTCTGAAATACTTTCTAATCGCAGCATCAAATGTTTTGCTTGGAGTTTGTTCGACATATCTACTGCTCTGTGAGAGGAGAGAAAGAATTTTCCTAACCATTATACTGACCTGAGGTGTTGATTTTGAACATTTAATTTTTGCTCGTAATCCAAGTTAACTAGTCTGCTTCGTCTGTTATGTATCTATTTTAAACAGCTTGATTGTGCTTTATCTTCCTGTAATTTTCTCTTCATTGAAAACAAATTGAGCTCTGTGAATGTCTTCTCAAAATGTAAGATCCTATAATCCCACATTTATCATTTTCTTCAGAACTCTCTCCAACAGAAGTGCAAACTCAAAGAAAATCACTGAGGTTGTAGCAGCAGTCATCCTCTCAGTTGGAGCACATTTAAAAATTAGTTGAAAGAAATCAAGTAGAGGGTTGTTGTTCCAAATTTTGTGTCAGTGTGGTCAGTGATAGCATTCTTGCCGCTGAGGCAGAAGGTTATGGGTTCAAGAGCCACATCAGGACTTGGAATAGCATAGCCTAAGAGGATATTCCAATGCATTGCTAGAGGTATGTTGTATTGTCAGAGGTGCAGTCTTTCAGATGAACTGTAAACTGAGGTCTAGTCTGCCAGTTCGTGGTACTGTTTGAAAAGAGAAGGGTGTTTCTCCTGGTGCCCTGGCCAACAATCCTCCAAATAAAACTGGTCATTCACTCCATGGCTGTTTGTGAGACATAGCTGTGCGCAAATTGGCTGCTGCATTTTGCGATTAAATAAAGAGTCAATATATCCTGTGAAGTGCTTTGAAGTGCTTGATGATATGATAAGGCACTATATCAAATACAAGGATTATTATTATTAAAAGGGTTAGATTACAAGAGTAAAGAAGTCTTGCTGCAACTGTATAGGGCCTTGTTGAGACCACACCTAGAATATTGTATGCAGTTTAGGTGTCTTTATTTAAGAAAGGATAATAATAATAATCCTTGCATTTGATATAGCGCTTTTCACGTTGGGAAGACATCCCAAAGCGCTTCACAGAATATACTGTAAAGTGAATTGACTGTATATTTGTGGACGAACGCGGCAGCCATTTGCGCACAGCAATGTCCCACAAACTGTCGTAGATTGAAAATGACCAATTTATTATTAGGATATACTTGCCTTAGAGGGGGTGCAGCGTAGATTCACTAGGTTAGTTCCAGGGATGAAGGGTTGAACTATGAGGATAGGTTGAGTAAACTAGGCCTATATTCTTCAGAGTATAGAATAATTAGGGGTGATCTTATAGAAACATAAGATTCTTATGGGACTTGACAGAGTAGACAGTGTGAGACTGTTTCCCCTGGTAGGAGAATCTAGAACTAGGGATTACAGTTTTAAGATTAAGAGACAGCCCTTTCGAGCAGAGTTGAGGAAACACTTTTTCACTCAGAGGGTAGTGAATTTGTGGAATTCACCCCATTCACCGTCTACCCCAAAGGGCTGTAGACGCTCAGTCCTTGAACATATTCAAGACTGAGATTGATACATTTCTAAAGGATAGAGGGATTAAGGGATATGGGGATAAGATGGGCAGATGGAGTAGGTTAGAAGATCAGCCATGATCTTATTGAATGGCGGGGTAGGCTCGAGAGGCTGAATGGCCTACTCCTGCTTCTAATTTCTATGTTCCTATAAAATCGGTTGAGGTATTAAATAGGGTGTATTAGCAGTTTGTACTGGAACCTCATCCATTGAATACATTAATGACCTGGATTCGCAGACGCAGAGTAAGATTGTTAAAATTTCAGATGACACCAGGTTGGGTGAAGTGGAATCAGAGGAGGCAGAAGAAGTTCTACAAAGAAAGCTTGATAACTAAACATAATGTTTCCTTCCCTAACATCTCTGCATTCACTTTTTGCAAGAGAGGGGAATGGATAATGATCAGGCACCTTAGCTGTTCTTTCTCCCTTGTCTTCCAGCAGCTTGAAAGCTAATTCTATTGCCTAGTTAATATGGCACAGAGCAGAATCCAACCTGAAACCTTCTGGTCTTTTTGTTTTTCTACAATATCAGGCAGAGCCTTTACTGCAAGGTTATCTGAGAGCCATATGTAACAGTATAATCTTCTGGGCACAGAATATATCCATCACTTGTGATTAAAAAGTGAAATGAACTTTTGCTTGATGACAACAGGTAAGGCATGCCATTGGTTTTGTTCAGTTACTAACTAGCAGATTATGTTTTGTGCTATTCAACATTTTTCTTCCCCAGAGACACAGGTGATTTTCTTTCTCCAGAGGTGTGGGTTATTTTTGGTCTCAACTCCATATGGACTTTTTTCTTGTTCTTATTATCATCATTATAGAATGGACTTGAATAGTTTATACATAATTGTATGCAGCTTCACAAATTCTGGGAAATAAATGTACTTAGTGAGGTTACCCTTAAAAGAAAAATAAATTTAAAAAAAAAAAAATTTTGGTCACTCAATCCACGACTGTTTGTGGGACACTGCTGTGCACAATTGGCTGCTGCGTTCGCCCATAAATATACAGTCAATTCTTTACGGTATATTCTGTGAAGCGCTTTGAGACGTCTAGAAGATGTGAAAAGCGCTATATCAAACGCAAGGATTATTATTATTGATGGGGTGTGAACATTGGCTGAAGACTGATACACTGATAAATACAAAGTACTACATATATAAAATGAAAGAAATGTGCTTCATGGATGGGATAAAACTTGTCGAGCTGAAAGATGCAGGGATGTTAATTTGTGACTGTGGTAATTAAATTTGCAGCTTTAAGTGGTATATTTTAGATTATTGAATAAGTGTCCACAATTTTAAGATTGGGGTAAGATTTAAGATTGTAAAGATCCATTCTCCAACACTTAAGAGGTGCATGTTGCTTAAGTCTCGGCATAATAGCATCCATTTTTGTGAGTAAGATTTTGTTGGCTTTTTGCATTACTGATCTGTTAAGAAAAGCTTATTTTGTGGATGTTATGTGCCATATATTGCTGGCTGTAAGTGGGCAGAGAATCCTTTGATGGATTCAAATATTTAAAATTTGTACATGGTGTGTAGGACTTGACATTTCATTCTGTTTTTGTTTGTCTTTCCAAGAACTGCCTCACCAAAGCATAAACTATTTGAAGTATGGCAACAGAGTCCTGTAGCTCAGTGGTTAGAGCACTCTCCTCAAGTGAGAGACCTGGGTTCGATTCCCAGCAGGGCAAAACCTTGGGCAATTTTCTTTATTCCACTCGCCTAATAATAATCCCTCAAGAAAAAAATAATAAATCTTGTTCACTTCAGTCCACCACTGTTTGTGAGGCACTGCTGTGCACAATTGGCTGCTGAGTTATGCCCATAAAATATACAACAACAACAACAAGATTCCATTTATTGAGCGCCTTTCACGTCGGGAGGACGTCCGAAGGCGCTGTACAGTTGGGTCATGACCCGAGCAGGGGGAAATGGTCAGGGTGAGGGGAGGGAAGGGAGGGAGCGAGGAGGGGGTAGAGAGTCGAGAGGGGAGCTGAAGGCACGGTCAAAGAGAAAGGTCTTGAGACCGGCCTTGAAGGAGGAAAGGGAGGAGGCGGCGAAGGCACTGGGGGATGGAGTTCCAGAGCCTCGGGGCTGAGAGGCTGAAGGCCCGGCCACCGATGGTAGGGCGGTTGGGGCGGGGGATGTGGAGCAGACCGGAGCCAGAGGAACGGAGGGTACGGGCAGGTAGGTAGGGGGATAGTAGGTCGGAGAGGTAGGAGGGAGCAAGGCCGTGAATGGCCTTGTAGGTGAGGATGAGGATCTTGAATTCGATCCTCTGGGGGATGGGGAGCCAGTGGAGGCGAGCGAGGGTGGGAGTGATGTGGTCCGAAGCCTGGTGCGGGACAGTACACGAGCTGCAGAGTTCTGAATGACCTGCAGCTTGTGGAGGGAGGTGGCGGGAAGGCCGGCGAGGAGAGAGTTCCCATAGTCCAGCCTTGAGGTGACAAAGGCGTGGACCAGAGTTTCAGCAGCGTGAGGGGTGAGGTAGTGCCGTAGTCTGGCGATGTTCCGGAGGTGATGGAAGGCGGTGCCAGTTGTGGCGCGGATATGAGGGAGAAAGGACAGCTCAGGGTCGAACAGAACCCGAGGTTCCTGACTGGCTTTGAGAGGTGGAGAGTGCAGCCTTGGATGCTGATGCTGTCAGCGCCTGAGGTGCGGAGGCGCTGACGTGAGCCAATCAGGAGGGCCTCAGTTTTGCGCACGTTGAGCTGAAGAAAGTTGTCTCTCGTCCAGGACTCGATGTCGGACAGGCAGCTGTCAGGACATCGGTGGTCGTGGAGTTGAGGGTAGAGGAGGAAAGGTAGAGTTGGGTGTCATCCGCATACATGTGGAAGTTAACCCCATGTCTGCGGATGATGTCACCAAGGGGGAGCATATAGAGGGTGAAGAGGAGGGGACCGAGGACAGAGCCCTGAGGGACACCGCACGAGACAGTGCGGGGGGTGGAGGAAAAACCATTCGTGGAGACAAAGTGAAGACGGTGGGAGAGGTACGACCTAAACCACTCAAGGACAGGGCCTTGAAGGTTTAGGTGGGAGGACAAGCGGTGGAGGAGGATAGCGTGGTCGACCGTATCGAATGCTGCCGATAGGACGAGGAGGCAGAGGGAGCCCTGGTCACAGATGGTCAGGATATCATTGGTGACCTTGACCAGGGCAGTTTCTGTGCTATGGGCAGCACGGAAACCCGACTGAAGGGGTTCGAATAATGAATGGTTGGAGAGGAAAGAGCGCAGTTGGGAGGCGACAACTCGTTCCAGGACCTTGGACAGGAAGGGGAGGTTGGAGATGGGCCGGTAGCTTGATAGCTGCGACGCATCAAGGGAGGGTTTTTTTAAGGTGGGAGTGATGGTGGCAGTTTTTAAGGGAATGGGAACAGAGCCAGAGGAGAGGGACAGGTTGACGATGTCTGTGATATGTGGGGCAAGGAGGTGGAGCTGGGAGATAAGGAGTGGAGTGGGGATGGGGTCAAGGGAGCAGGTGGTGGGTTTCAGGGATAGGATGAGTTTGGTGACAGAGGGTGGGGAAACGGGTACGAAAGTGTGTAGGGGAGGATGGGTAGGAGTCGGAGTGTGGGAGGGAGGGGGTGGGGTGTGGGTGGATGTTGGAGGGGAAGTGACCGCGGAGCGAATTCCCTTGATTTTGGATTCAAGGAAATCCAGCATCTCCTCGCAGTGAAGGTTGGAGGAGATGACCTGCGCGGGGTGGCGGGGGGACGGAGGAGTTGGGATGTGGTAGAGAACAGTAGCCTGGGGTTGTTCTTCGCCTCCAGGATTATCCTGGAGTAGAAGGACGATTTGGCCGAGGCTAGAGTGGAGCGGTAGATTTTGAGGAGGTCCAGCCAGATTTGTCGGTGGACCGTTAGGCCAGATTTGACCAGGTGCGTTCAGCGGCCCGCACCTGGCTCTTCAGTGAGCGGAGGTGGGTGGTGAACCAGGGGGAGGAGCGAGAGTAGGAGACAGTACGGGAGGTGATGGGGGCAAGAGTGTCAAGTGTGGAGGAGAGGGTGTTGTGGAGGAGGGTGAGAGCAGAAGAGGGGTCAGTGAGGGTTGAAGGCCAGAGGGAGAGGAGTTCAGAGGACTCCAAGGCAGCGGTTAGGGATTGGGGGGTAACTTCTTCCAGGGCGGTAGAAGATGGTGGTGGGTCTGGTGGAGGTGGGGAGGGGGGTGGAGGTGGTGAAGGAGATGAAGTGGTGGTCGGATACGGCCTTGTCGGTGATAGTGACATCCGAGACACTGAGGCCCCGGGTGATCACCAAGTCGAGTGGGTGCCCGTGAGTGGGGGAGTTGATGTGGAGGGAGAGGTTGAGCGAGGAGAGCAGGGAAGAGAAATCTGAGGAGATGGAGCAGGAGGGGGTGAAGTGCAGGTTAAAGTCGCCCAGGATGATGAGGCGATCAGAGCAGAGGCAGAGAGATGTGAGAAGTGTTGAGATATCAGAGATAAAGGTGGGAGAGGTTTTAGGGGGCCGGTAGAGGAGGAGGATTTTAAGTGAGAGGAAGAAGGGGTGGGAGAGGGTGAGGTGCTCAAAAGAGGGGAAAGAGCCAGAGGAGTAGGGGGATAGGGCAAGTGGTGTCCTTGAGATAAGGGCAACACCACCGCCACGGCGGTTGGGGCGGGGGATGTGGTGGGAGGTGTAGCCGGGTGGTGTGGCCTCCGTGAGGGGGAAGGTGTCGCCTGGGGTGAGCCAGGTTTCCGTTAAGGCCATGATGTCAACTCTCATCAAGGATGAGATCGTTGATGACCAGGGCCTTGTTACAGAGGGAGCGGACATTTTGTAGTCCGATGTGGATGGAGCGGTTGACAGAAGGGTGTGTGGGAGGGAGGGGGGGTCCAGGTTGTGAGGCAGGGGTGGGGGAATGGGGATGAGGGAGGAGAGGTTGACTCCCCGGGTCTGTGTCCGGGGTGGCTGGCGAGTGTGGTGGGGAATGGGGCAGTCGGTGTGGCTGCTGCTGGACAGCCAACGCCGAGTGCCACGGTGAGCCCGGCGGAGGATTCCCAGGCTGGAGCAGAGGGAGGTTGTGGGAGGGTCAAGTGGGGATAGAAGGCGAGAGGGACGGAGAGAGAGGAGGAGAGAGCGGGAGATGCAGAGGGGGGAGGGTTTGGGGGTAGAGAGGAGGGAGGGAGGGAGGGGGTGAGGGGGTGAGGGTCATAGCGGCAGCCATATTGCGCACGCGGGGACCAGGAGCGAGCGGTCAGGTGGATGGACACATTATCCCATGGGCTGGGGCAGCCAACCTAACAGGACCATGGTGGGCTCTGATGTGAGCCCTGGGGGCGGGGGGGGGCGCAGAGGATTTTTTTTTTTTGCGCGCGCACACTTCTGAAAACTACAACTATGACGTCAGCGGTTCCCCCGCTCCGCCCCCACCTGTTCCCTCCTCAACAGCCCTGTGCTGCACTCCCTGCCGCATCGAGCTTAAATACCTGAGAGGTAGGACCAGGCACCTCCCCGCGCTGTCCTGGCGCCGCTCCCTGTCTCCCTGTACAGTCAATTAACTTTACAGTGTATTCTGTGAAGCGCTTTGAGATGTCTAGAAGATGTGAAAAGCACTATACCAAATGCAAGGATTATTATTATAGAATTTAATTATAGATTAATTCAAAGTTCTTGTAGTTTGTAAATTATATCTTGTAAGGCAATA